CATTGGGTCTCCTGAGCGCATGTCCTCAATGTTTGGAGATGATGGTTCTTGCTACAGCCATCTAATGTTAGGTCACAGTGGCTTTAACAGTCTCTTAGAAGACCTTCATCCTGAAGGAGTTTGGAGGGGCTAGGGGCTAAGGCTACACTGTGTGGATACCTCTGTCTTCCCCCAGGAAACAGATACTAAGTCCCTGTAATGTGCAGAGAAGGCTAACATGTACATACATAAGCACACATTACATTCTTTCCAGCCGAGCTATTCAAGGCTGGTGTCTGGAGTGAATGGCTCATATTAAATGTGCAGAAGTTTCTCAGCATTGACAGCGGGGAGAGGGCGGCTCTTACCCACAGTGTCTTCCAGCCCTGACATCTCTGGTCATTAGGGTAGCTCAGGGGCCCCTAAGTGATAAGTAGATCTTGACTCTCTCCAAAGACATCTGTGGGTCTCAGGAACCCTGAAGGAACTGGCAGAGGACCCCAAGACTGCAGCATAGAAGGAGGAATGGGGCAGGCTGAGGCCTCCAGGCTATTCCCTCCATCTTCCGAGAGTGCCCTGCTCCCTTGGCTTGTTTGTTGATTGAATAAGTGAATGCATGTATTAATATTCAGACCCTCACGCCAGGGAATGAGGCAGTCCACTTGAGCAAATTCTTGAGAGGATTGAAGCCCCATCAGTTCACATTAACACCTCTTAAACACTGGGAGACACATTCATTCAGCAGATGATGTTTGTGTGTCAATCACAGGCTCAACACAATCTCAGAGAGTGACTTCTGGAGACATCCTCTACAAGAACCTAGTCTAACTCTGGATAGGAGTAGCCATTGTCAGTGAAAAGCCTGTCTCTGGTGCCTCCCCAGGTACCCTGCCTTACCCAAGCAAGCCCAGGCACACAGCTGCAGACCCTGCCTGGGGCAGGTGGCCTCTGAGCAGCCCATCCATAGCCCATCCCTCTGGGCTGTCACAGCAGCCATCTCTTAATTAGCAAAATAAATAGCACGATGATAAATGTCATAATTTACTTAACACATGATCAAAATCATTGCTTTTGCAGACCTCAGGGCAATAAAATGCAATCACGGGGTGATTTATTCCCACCGGCAGGGTGAGTGCAAGGCTTCGTGTCAGTAAGCAGGGCATGACATGGGGCGGGGGAGGTATGGTGGCCAGATGGAGGAGCCTGGGAATTGGGACAGAGCCCACAGGGATGTCCAGCTATTGAAACCACACCCATACCCACATATAGACCCTCAGCCAGGCCTAGGACATCTGACATGCTTCCTTCCAAAACGACCAAGAGCCCTAACCTGGTGGTCCCAAAGCATTCAGGGAAGGAGGCTCAGTATATATGAGAGGAACGAAGAGAGGCAGCCTCCAAGGCCAGTTCTGGACGAGGCATGGGCTTTGAGGCCCCTCCCCACACCATGAACACTGAAAGGCCCAGGCTCAGCTGCTGCACCCCTAGCTGGGCTCTGTCAAAGGAGTCTACCTGGGGTGGGAGTGCCTGGCCACCAGGGACAGGAAGTCAAAGGCCATCCCCTGTCACTGTCTGTCTGACCCATGTGGGGAAAAGAAGAACTTTTTCTTCCTAGTCACCCTGAAACCTCACGTTAGCGGGGCCTCGATACCCATCTTTTCATTTTATCATCTGAAACAAGAACCCTGCTCTCAGAAAGGAAGTAAAGATTGCCACAGCCTCCCAAGTGATGGCACAAACGGTAAGTCTGCCCTTCACTTCAAGCTGCCCACCAGAAGACCACAGGGCTATTCCCTCTGTTTGCAGGCTCTCCAGAGGACCCAAGCTCAGACTGGTGCACTCCACTCCTGGGCCACTCCTCAGGGAAGCCAAACAGAACGGACCCTCCTTAGCTTTCATCTGTCATCTTTGCTAAAATGTCACCGCTTGCTCTCTTGCAGCAAATGAGTACCACGTTAATGATCACAAAATTCAATTACTCTGATTCACAGAACTTAATTATGAGGGTGAGAGTGAATAATTATGTATGCAATCTGGGGCCATTCTGAGATCACACCCATGCATGCCTCACACTGCCCCAGACCGACTGGAGTCCCCCAGCCTTCATCAGACTTGCACATTGACACTTTTCTGGTAGCCTCCGCCTCTCCCAGTACTTGCCGAGGTACAGAGGGTTGGTGGCTAGGCCACCTTGTGTAAGTAGCTGGGGACGTTTACAGAGGCCCCTTTCTCCGTACTCAGGAGAGACTGGGCCCTGGGTCCTGGGTTTTCTTTCTGTCCTGAGCCATGATCAGGGGAAAAGGCATGCAGCCTGAGTAAGTCAGGAAAAGCCAGGGTACCAGAACTCACGGACTTTGCTGAGCTACCTCTGTACTTTGAGGAGCACAAAGAAACAGTGGAAGGGCCATGAAGAAGTATAGTTCACACACGGGAAAATTAGAGTAAAGATGTGAGGAGAGGAGGTCTCAGTGCTTTCCCCGGGCCCAGAGGCTCCAGCCCGTAGGACTCAACAGAACCCACTTCTGACTTAATCCTTGACTCCAGGAACTGAGAGCTCCCACCTGCTTCCCCGGGAACCTCCTCTTTCCTCCCCGACAGCAATGGCTTCCACTCCAGTCCTGCCAGCGGCTCCAAGCATTCAATCCCAAGGGCACAACTAGCTGCTTGGCCGTGGAAGGACGCAAAGCCCAGAAAAGGGTCACAGAAACCGGCTATGGGGGCCTGAACTTGAAAAGAAAACAAGATTAGATGAGCTGGTGCTAGGTGCATCTGCAACACTGTTTCAGGCCACTGCTGGGGCAGCTGTTTCCAAGCACCTCCCTGAAAGGCAGGTGTCAGTGCACTACCATGGGACAAAGCTCTCCGTAGAAATGGGGGGGGGGGGCGACTCTCTCAAATACCTCTGCAGAGAGTAAACAAGACTGCAAAAGCCAGCAAACTCCAAGGCGTGATAGCGACAGCCTGTACCAGGCCTGGCACCCAGGGAGCCACTGTGATACGGGGCATTTCTTTAAAAACCAAAATCAAACAGAAACTTGTATCAGCTGCAGAGCAGACAAGAACAAAGTCACTTCAAGGTCATCCAAAGAACTACCTATTACCAAGGTTTGTTTACCCTCCAAGCATCTAAAAGCTCGCCTACTGATTAAATAGTGAAGATCTTTTAAGTGCGTTAAACAAACACCCTTCAAGCGTCTCCAGCACACCACAGGGGAGGGTGGAGAGGCCCTCCACAAAGCCAAATCCAACTGAGCCCCAAGTACTCAACTGCCATGTTGTTTAAAAACACTCTCCTTGGGCCACAAAGCACAGTGTGTGCCCACTAGAAGGGTGGGATTCCTACTCTCCTCTCCTGCCTCACCTGGTTCCCTGACCCAGCCCGTCAGGCCCAAGGATGATCTCAACCTTGGTCCCCATCCCCTGCATCTGTTACCTCTGGTGATTGAAGACATGCCAAGTTAGCTACTGAGCTACAGTTCCCACCATGCGTGGACTCACCCATCTCCACACCCACTTGGTCAACACAGCTTCTCACCTGGACCCTCCGAGCTCTCTGAAGGGCAAGTGAGGGTGGCTCCCACTCAGGTAAGAGCCTCGGTGCCCTCGACAGTGAACTAGACAAGACCCTGTGATACCAGGGACCTCATTCCACCTGTCTTCTGAGACACCCAGAGGACCAGGCACTCAGCCTCAGTGTTGTGGGGCACATAAACAGCGTATGAATGTGACCTAGCTACCACCAGAGATGCATCAACTCCTCTGGCTCTCGACACTATCCCAAAGGAAATCTGTGGTGCTTGCTGGAGCATCCAGAGTTTCTCAAGGTCTGGAAGAGGAAACTACGCATAAGAGGACATTTCATCAGAGTTTCTAGGCGGCTGTGGAGTCTTGGTGTGAAAACTTTGGAGACTGTAAAACAGCCAGGGAGAGAATGCCAGGCCTTAAGTCTTTCCTCACTCTACAAAGAAAACCAACATCCAGATCTGCTTGAAAACTTTCTCAAGGTTGTCAAGGGTCTGAGAGAGGCAGACAGAGCAGAGGTAGACCCTTGTCCCACCTGACACCAACCCCAGCCCCGTGGCTAGGGAGTCACTGCAGGCTAGCAGGCTCTCTCCCTGCCCTGGACCATTTGCCCTTCCTGGCACTGACCTCGATGCAGGCACTTGTGGAGGTTGTGAAACACCAAAAGGAATCTGGATTTGCATTCCTGCTTTCCACCCAGGCAGGCTTCCTGCCAAAACTACCACTGGAAACCAGCCCTCTGGGCCGCAGGAAGGCTGGGGCCTACAGGAAAACGTGCCTTTGTGGCATTCTTACTTCCCACGAGGCCACCTTAACAAGCCCTCTCAGAGCAGGGTTCAGTGTGCCCCCGTGGCCTGAGCGGACACCTCAGGATGCTTCTGGTTTGGAGCGACACCTAGCACTCTCTTACCTAACACACCATCCTTCCCAAACCACCTGCAGGTTAACTCACGGGAGCTCCAGCCCCATAAAGGTCCATGGAGATGTGATAAGGAGGTTTAAATAGGCAAGGCTTCTGCTCCCAAATCTGAGAGTGGATTCCCCTTCAAGGCTGGCCAGGAGGTGTCAATGTGTTAGTGTGTGGAGCTACATGGCCACCAGGCCTGTTTTGTAAGCTGCCTCAACCTGATGGAGACTTTTCAGCATTAAGCTGCTGTTGCTTCTGGAACACTCAACTATCCAGCAATGAGGGTGGGTTAGTACCTCCATCTAGTAGGAGGCCCGAGATGTTTTAAAACATGAGCTCATAAAAGACACATTTCCGGGAAGAGGGTGCCTCAGCCGTCGGGGCTGATGGGCGTCCGAGGGGACTGCAATGTTTTCTGAGTCACGTCATGCGAGCTGCTGGATAAAATAACCCTGGGAAATGTGACATTCGAATGCTCTCTCTCCAACAGACCGAGCCTCCTGCCTGGGGCAGTGGCTGCACCGGCTTTATAAATAGATTGAACACAAGATAAATGGCCACGATCAATCATGCTCAGACTGAGCATACTCACCTCCCATCCAAAGTCGGCCTCCTTCAGTGCGGCCCGGGGCGCCACCACGTAGGGGCCAAGCCTCTCCCCAACTTCCATCTTCCGCTTGGCCCAGATCCCCAGACCAGCTCCTGGGATGGAGGACTCTCGCAACTCAAAGTCTGGTGGGATTGGAATGTCTTCAGGAATGTAGACAGGAGCCTCATAGGGCGAGCCCTCCTTAGGAGTGAAGTCCTCGCTGGTGGGGAAGGGGGACGGCGGCCCCATAGGGATGGGGGACAAGATGCTGTCCTCAGTCTCCTCCTCGGCACTCTGGCCGGCCAGCAGGTCCGGGTCGGGTTCATACATATTATTTACAACGTCACCGTCACCTAAAGAGATAATGTAGCATCAGTGTCTATAGAAAGGGACTCCCCGAAGATGTGGCCCTCATGGAACCCCAGGGCACCAGAGGTCCAGCAGAAGTCTGGCTGCTACCCTTTGCCTGGCAGTTACCACCTCTGCACCACCCCAAATCTGGCAGCAGGTATGCAGGGCCAGTGGCCCCAGGGAGGAGACCCCACCAGGCTCCTCCAGGAACCAGCGCACTACAGGCAGCATAGCCGAGCTCTCCCTCACTGTTCATGTGAGAAGTGGGCGATTTCATCTGTGCAGCCACCTGAGGATGCGCTGCCCGGCTCTGCTGTGGAGAAGCAGCAACGGTGGCTGTCATAGGAATGGTGACATATTTGCTGTGAGATCATCCCAGTGCTCATCTGTGGCCTCGGAGATTGGGGAACTCAGATGCTTTGAAGAAAATTCAGAATCTGAGTTTTGCTAAAAACTACCACCTCAACGTAAAGCTACTCCCGACATCACACAGGGATAGCCAGGTTCTCTATGGGGTTTCTGCAAGTTCCTGGTGACCTCAAGGCAGATTAGAAATAGTTGAGGCCATGGACATGGTACCTGAGCTACAGGCCACAGGACTGAGCAAAAGGATGAGGGTCCCCAGCTAATCATGGGTTTTCTCTAGGGTCAAAGGTCAATGTCAAGACAGAGCCACTTGGAATATAAAAGGAGCGAGCACCTTGGTACACTAAGGCTGTGATGGCATTGGATAGAGAAGATCTGTGAGGGCAAGGAGGAGATCAGGCAGAAAGGAAACAAACCCGTTCCTGGTGTATACCCCACAGCCCCGCAAACAGGGCTTCAAACCAGCAAGGACTCAAGCAGCCAAGGCCGGACCAGCTCAGGCCCCTAGCAACACAGAGAAGCAAAGGATGAGACTGTGCTCCGCCCACACCAGGGTCTATCCACAGGAACACGAAGCTTACCATGCAGACAGACCTCGCAATCATGTCTCACACCAGCACATTACTTCTTAGATGGCCATCTTGCTGTGCCCAGGGATACCTACATTCGTTTTTCCTATCTAACTCTCTAGCTTCTTCCCTTTCCCTGCCCCTCCCACACAGAGGTGTCATGCTGGTCACCCCGACTTGACTATTCCCCAACACCTACAATGTGTACACACTGTAAACATCACACTGGAGCCTATAAATCCCTTCTCACTCCCCAGTGTAAAATCACACAGTCTCTGTAAAGGCTCACTCGTTTTCCAGTGTGCACATGGGAGGAAACACCACAGTGTCTTATCAATACAAATGATTATTGCATGTCCACTAAGATTTTAAAAATACATTACATAAAATAGGAGACAAATACTATGCGTCCACCAAGCATCCAGAAGAGGCAAATCTGTAAAGGTTGGGAGGAGCTGGGGAGTGACTGTTAATGGGTGCTGATTCTCCGATGGGTGGTGAGAATGTTCCAGAATTAGAAGTAGAGGTTGGTCACACAACACAGGGAAGTGTGCTAAGTGCCACCAGATTGCGTGCTTTAAATGGCTACTTTTCTGTACTGAGAATTTGACCTCGGTCAGTGAGGAAAGCCAGAGGTGTGGGGGGGGCTCACTCACTCATCGCGCTGACCCCTGATCCAGATCTCCCAGATCAGGTCCATCCCACCACTGGTCCGTTGGCCTTTGGAAGTCACCCAGGAGCCATGTCCCATGCCCCTCGCTGCTCCCTGACGCTGGCTGGTGAAATCAAAGCCTCCAGGGAGACAAGAACTTTCAAGAACAAGAAAAGCGATTTCAGATTCCCTGTGCTGGCTGCAAACAAGCCGGCTGTGGAAGTAACAAAATGTTTTCTTTCAAAAGAAACCAAAGTCTCGGGAAAAAATCATGCCGATAACACTTATTTAATTTAGCAGCATTCACAGAAGTAATGACTATGTTTTAAGTGGCCAACGGTTCCTTTTTAATTGGCTGGTGGGATCCTTTCAGGGACTCGGCAACACAAGGCAGCGGAGCTCCTTCCACCCCAAGGCCTGGCGTTGTTTAGGTTTGAAAGAACACCCCCGTAAACCTTCCCATTGCCTGTGTGCGGCAGAAAGGTAAATTAGGGGGGGGGGTAATTAACAAGCCATCTTATTATCCAGAACTGGTAACTGCACAGAGCTCACAAACAAAATCGCACTAGAAGCCCATGTTCCCCATGAAGTGCTTAACTCCTTCAGGTGCTGACGCCTCTGCCTCCCAGAGTGGCCAGGAAGCAGGACAGGGCAGCGTTTCAGGGGCTCTGAGGAGTCCAAGTTGGGAAACGGTCCCATCCAGGGTACAGTCCCCTCAAGGCTATTTCTTTTCTTTTTTCAGTTTGAATTCTACTTCCTCAAACCCCTCACCTGCTCACAGAAACCAGCACTTTATTAAAGTCCCACTTAACCGGCGGCCCAGCAAACAGCTGGAGAAAAGGCAGTGTTTCCTGCAGATTAGAGGCAGGCCCGTGCTCCAGCCCCGCTCCTGTGCCCAGGTGGTCACCGAGGTTAGGAGACAGTTTCCTTCTTTGCATTCTGCTGTCCCCCGCACTGGAGAGAGAGAGAGCTCTTTGTTTGTGGGTGGGCATCGAGGGGGCTGGAGGCCTAATGAGTGTTTTCAGGGAGGACGTGGGAAGGGCTCCCAAGTCCCTGAAGAAACAGTCACCTGCTCTGACTCTTGGAGTCCTGGGGGAGCTAGGGATGAGTCACTCAGGTTTTAGTTGGTGAGGAGTCTTATGTTCAACTTAGACATCAGCCTTCCTTTCTCATGAGCTCCAGGCAAGATGCCCTCTGAGATGGAAGCCCCTCTGCCCGAAGTGAACACTCTGGTACCTTTTACCCCGCCCCAGGGTAGGTCACTGCAACGGCAGGTGCATTTTCCAGGTAGAAGAGCAGTGCCAAGGTCGTGGGTACTTTGTGACTGTGTCTCGGAGATTGGATGTCACTGATTGGTCAGAAGGCCTACATTCTTTATCTGAATCTTGCAATGGCTTCATGGTGAAGAGTCTTGGCTGGGGCTGTCATTCATAAAAGTTGGAATGCCTAACAAAATGATAAAAGTGGGGAAGGGAGGGTACGGGAGCAGCAGGAAGAGAGGATCAGCATGAACCTGACTGGCCCTCGAGCCAAATGGCCCCGAGTCCTAGCCAAGTCTGTTTTTCATGCTAGAAGCACCTGCTCGATGCCCCAGGGTCTAGCTGAGCTGATTCCTGGTGAACTCAACACCAAGTGCCTCTGAGCATCACACCAACCAATGTTCAAGTGACCACCATGACCCTGTGGCATGGAATAGACCTCAACTTTTCCCCAGAACCAGGGAAGCATGGGCTGAGAACCCATTTGACCACATCTTTCACCCCACTCTGGATTCCACCCAACCTGGTTTTCAGTGTTGGGTCTTTTCTGACATCACACCAGGGGGTTTTCAGGCCTTCTCACCCTGGACACAAGCCACCCAGCATCTCCTCAGAGACCCCACTGAGGAGCAAACATGGATGGGATACTAAGGTCTAGAAAGATGTGTGTGTGTGTGTGTGTGTGTGTGTGAGAGAGAGAGAGAGAGAGAGAGAGAGAGAGAGAGAGAGAGAGAGAGAGAGAAAGAAAGAATAGTAGCTGACTGCTGGGACAGTTTGCTAAACAATAGTGTCAACCTGCGGACAATGGTGGCGCACACCTTTAATCCCAGCACTTGGGAGGTAGAGGCAGATGGATCTCTGTGAGTTCGAGGCCAACCTGGTCTACAGAGCTTGTTCCAGAACAGGCTCCAAAGCTACACAGAGAAACTCTGTCTCGAAAAACAAACACACACACAAAAAAAAAAAAACCAAAAACAATAGTGTCAACCAGCAGCAGAGGGGCTGCCATGGCATCCCAGCTGGGGCTCTCCATCAGCCATGCCAGTAACATCTGTAAC